CTCATTTTTAAATTTCCCTTGTGGTACAATCCTTCCTAATCTCTATATGTGATTTAAACATGCATAGGGATAAACAATACTAAATTACTTTAAAACACATTAAAATTCCAAAGATGCAGCAAGAACATATTAAATTTAGAATGACCATGTCCATAATAACTGCAAACCTTTGTCAATAGTGGCTTTCTTTCCTGTTAAAGCATTGTATTTCTCTACCATACACTATTACAGATAAGCAGTATTCACAGTATAGCTGGGATGCTCAAAATAACCTAAATATTCCATTATTTTCTGTAGTTCAGAGCTAGGTTATAATTCCAGAGGGAGGCACATGTGATATTGTTAGATAAATGCTTACACCACCATCCCTAACTCATTCTTATGTGACAGAATCACAGAAAGGTAAGCATGAGCAACTTAAAAAAGCAGAGACATTGTTGTAACTACGGTTGATTCTTTCAGGTAAGCTAAATTACTTTGTCCTGAGTTAAAGATGATCAGAGACGCTCAGAAACCTGTTGGTTTTGCTGCCTTCAGCCGGTGATGCATCTGTTCACCACTACAGGGAGACCAGACGACTTTGAAATGTTCACTTGCTTCGCATCACCAGCAGATGGCACAGGATAAATTCTACCAAGAAACTACAGTCTGCTGGTTTTGTCCTTTACAGTTAACCTGTATCAGGCCTGAGGGGAATTTAAAAAAAGCATCAGTATTTCATAGGCAAGAAAAACTGTCAGAAAGGGTCAGGAGGGAGAACTTAAAAATATTTCTGTGTTCTCTATTTCGACTGTGGACATATGGACAGCACAGAAACCAGTCCCAATCCACACAGAAATCCCCGATTTGAGAAGCCCCAAAGGCACTGCAAACACAATGCCATTTGTTAAGATGTCACAGCCTTTGTTCAGGCACTCGTGTCCCCTGCACTGTGTTTCCAAATCTCAGTTCCTCCTGCATACTCTAAGTTCTGCGCCACCAAAGAAAATTTTCAAGTCCCCAATCCAACCAGATGGATTTGCAACCCTGCTCCTGCTAACTGCAGGATAACCTATGCCCATGTGCTACAATAGGATAATATTCAGTGCTTTCACAGGTATCTCTGAACGTCCTTAGGAAATACCTAGGCCATTACAATATTCACTTGTATTCCAGGAAGTGAAAGACCTTGAATAGAAGTGTTCCTGACTGCTCAGATTTTAGGATACCCTAGACACATGCTAATGAGGTTGCACCCCCATTAGTACCTGGACTCCTTGAAAACTTTCATGTCATTAACAAATGACATTTTTTTGCTATATAGAATATTTCCTTGCTGGGTAAAAGTTTATGCTGAAGAGCTTTTATTTTTTCTAACAGCTGGTTGGATTCTAGGGGCACTCTATCCTGGCAAACTACATTTTCTTACAGCTTCAATTAAAGTACAGAACAGCCTATAACTTAAAAATATTTCCATAAACAGCAGAATTTGTGATGAAGGCTTCCTATGGTTCTCCTGTGGTATCCTATGGTGCTTGATCCTACACTGACTCTCAGGCCAAATAATGTGACTCAGATGTTTCTGTAACCTGTTCATCAGTGAGGGCAATTGAGGCTCTCTCTGTGAACCACCTGTCCTCACAAAACACGTGGAAAATTTATCACAGAAAAAGGGTCAAAGAATCTAATTTGGCTAAAATAATGCTCAACACTATTGAAACAGAGAGGCAAAGAATAATAAGCAAACTTTCGTTTCCTTAGGATTCCAAGGCTGCTTCACATACATGTTCCACCAAATATACCTTTTCTATGCTGAAATTAACTTAGAATAGCCTCCCAATATCTCGTCTGAAACTCAAAACTGCTTTTTATAGTGTCAGATATTTACAATGAAGATGTATGTTACTGATGTCAAGAAACTGGAGGATTTGATAGGTGGATGATATTTCTACCTTAGTGAAGTAAGGCAGAAAGTGTTAACAGCCAAACTTTAACATACAACCATAATTTCAGGTTGTCTACTGACTCCAACAGGTATTTTGCTTAGATTCAGGTTGTGTTTTCAACATTATACTTGAAACATAACAACAGTTGTGCAAATTAAGTTGAAGGCTTAGATATGTGAATTGAATTTTAAAGGAGAAGGTGGGATTTTCAGTAAATGACATAGTAATCAAATATAACCCCAACAAAGGGAGAACAACTAAAAACTATCTTTGATATACAATACCTGTAACTATGTGATCTAAACATAAATTTCCTCATAGATGTCAATGGACTGTCCACACTGAATATAAAGTCAAGATTCTCACACTGAGTGTTCTCCTAAAGTACAGAGAACAAATTAAGTACTTCTAAAAATGTACTTGATCTTTTAGTTCCTTGTGAGATACTATGCAACAGTGAAAAAATAAAGTTAAAAAAAGTTTCTCTATAATTTTTTCCAGCGGATATCAAAGTTAAGTAATAATTGTATTATTCGAAAGAGATATTTCAGATATTTTGTTTACATTGTATTTTCATTTTCATTTAAAATGCATCCTGTCTTTATTTCTAATTTTACAGTCTTAAAATTGAGGGAAATTGGTGGTTTCTGTTTGTTAAATTGTTTCCTCGTTGCTATTGGATATGCAGAATTTATGGAAATAATTTTTCTACAAAGCCATTTCAGATTTGGAATGTGAATATATACTGGAAAGAAGCCCAGTCTTTCATTACAATGTTCTCACAGAAAGGATTTTAAACACAAGTATTAGACTTACTATTTTTATAACAACCGTGTACTTCAGTCATAGCAAATAAAAATTACTGAAAAAAAAAAATCAATCAGGCTACCCTTCCCACCAAGTTTTGCTACTTAAAAGATAATCCATAAACAATACAGAGACCTTAGGTGGGATATTGGATATAAGCACCTAAATCCAGTGCCACAAGACATAAAACCTCCACTTAACTGTGTAGATATGTGTGAACACTGTAATTTCTAATGGCAGCTCCCAGACCTTAGCATGGTTCAATCCCAGATGGATTTAGACCTCAGGACTCCCCAGCTGCTCCAGGGAAATATGCTTATCCCTCTGCCAAGGTATTAATGCTTCTGTGCACTGGGGTTTTTTTTGGGTTTTTTTTTGTGGCTCCAGGATTCTTGCATTCCTAGCTGTACAGTGGCCTTCTCTCAGCTGGCAATGCAGAAAGCACCTCTGCCTCTAACAGACTAGAACTGCATCATTTTCATGATATGTGGGATTTGATCCTCCTGAGGCTGAGAAGGGCCCCAGTGGGCAAATGCTTTGCAAACACTCTAGCCACTACAGTAATTTATAAAGGTTTGGTATTCTTGCTTCTTCCACTGCCAGTTATTTTTCCTCTTCTCTTCTTCCCCAGTATCTCATTGCTGTAAACCAGAAATAGTTAGAGACACCTTTGTCCAAGTGGGTAACTACATGCAGAAGGTTTGTGCTGTGAATTTCATGCAAGTCAAGGATGCTCTATCACTACCACCCTTTTTCTACCAACTAGCTTAGTGATCTTTAAAGTGGGCTTCCTGCTGTGAATTCACTCTTCTAACTCTACACAACTAATGCAATACTACAGCACCAATGCTGTACACATGCTGAGGAAGGAATAAAAGTGGTTTAAATAATCTCTGTGAAATCCCAAATGACTTGGGGCAGTGATGGAAACTCTTTTAAGCACCTAATCTATCTGACAATGTCATATTTAAAGGAATGAAATTATGACCTGAAATATAAATTTCTCTTCTTTGGTACTATGAGAATTTTTAAACCAAAATATCCATTAACACTTTATGCTACAGACACTGTGCATATGAATAAAACACAGAAATACACAGAGTAAAGACTGACATCTTGAAGTACATTAAAAGACTGACATGGTTACAAAAATCTACAGTGGCTTTAAACTTAGTTTATTTAAATAAGAAACTAATTTTTCTACTTCTACCTACTTTTTTTTTATATTGCCATGATGATATACTTAGGGGGAGAAAAGCATACCCTATTAGTAGTACTACTAATGAGGCCTGCTTTCCTACCAGTGTGGCTTACATCTTCACACCATAGCCCATAAATTCCTTTCTATGTCCCCAGTTTGCTGCCTTGTCCTCCCCTCAAACATCCCCTGCTTGCTCAGCTGTGGCTGACAAGGTGCAAAAGGTACT